TGCGGAAGCCAAATGTATATAGTGTGAATAAATCACAACTACTATACCAAAAATTATGACAGCAACCAAATAATTTTTAAGACAATAAAACAACAATAAAGGGAACACCAGAATTTACGAGGTTCGGCTAATTTTGCCTACTCCTCGGACACAACCAATATTTTATTCCACTCCAAAAATACAAGTGAAATAATACTAAAGAGAGAAGATACAAATGCCTTAAACAGATGAGAAGGCAAATGGGATATGTGTTTAAATCCTAAACATTAGGCCTTCTTTTATAGGGGGAAAATCCCCCCAAAATTCAAGAGTCCACCGATGTGGGACAAATTTGCCAAACTTCAACATAAATGAAATATTAGAGTAATAATTAACCGACGCGACAATCTTACCCCTTTGTATGGACTTCAAGTGACTATATATAAATTACCTCTATTTGTGTGGCTCATGTAGGGCGCTCTATGGCAAAAATTTACTTGCATTTTATGTTTGTACTAAACCATATTAACTTGTTATGATAAGTAATAAATTAAGGTAGAAATATATATTATTAAATAATTATGATTTAGTGATAATAGTGTACGTAAGACATTATGTATTTATTGAATTGATGTTAGACACCATGCGCAATGACTGTCATAAATGGAAACTTCTTTCTCCACGTCTGCCTCTTCCAATCTTTGCATAATATTATTTCACCTTTGTCCAATATGAAATTCCATAGACTATCCAACATTAAGTGCTGTGGTTATTATGAGGTAAAAGAGTACAACAAACTTTATTCTAACCCAGGCGACAAACGGAAACAAAATCAAGTTACTATTGTGATTAAAATGATAACGGAGTTATCATTTACGCTATCAGACAGCGAAACATTTGATATTAACTTTGCACTTGTTTAGCTTTTTGCTTATTGATATTAACTTTTCGAAAAGTTTCAAAATGAGGTTGACTCTCTATTTACCTATATAACCTGAAATTAATTCAAACACTTCATTATAATTCATTGAATCCGTATCATGTTTTACATGATTGTATTGATAAACGTAAACATATCTCTAGTACACATTCAAATGTTCATATAAATAATCGAGGCATCAAAGATATATGTTGAAACAAAATAGCTTATCTCTCTCGCAAGGATTTGCAAATTAATGAGATGAAAAATGCTTAGAGTCATTCACCTCCCAAAAAGCTTGTATTTAAATCAATCCTCATTTTCGGACCCTCCTTGTTTACCCATTATTTTGACCTTGACACCCTCGTACAATTACTAAATTGACTTTTCACTCTATTAGTTTGTCCAATCCTCGTTGAAAATAAGTAACCAACTTGTTATCTATGTAAATGGCTTTATCACCACACATTTGGATGGAAACTTGTAAGTCTCGTGATAAATTAGATTTAACATTGTTATTCTAATATGTTGAAGCAAATTACATACTACTATTTTATCAATTAATGATATCGATCATAAAAATTTAATTATAATTACCTCACAAGTAAATTAATTGTATAAATATTTCTTACGCGGACGTTGCACAGAATAGAATTTTTTTACTATATTTTAAGTACTCAATCATATAAAATGACAATTCCGAAGTGTATCAAATAGTGAGAGTCTCTGAACCGGGCCAGAAAAGTGTCCTCTTGTCCGGCCCGGAGCGTCTCTTCTGTTAAACCCCTTAAACCCTTGGACTCTCTTCCCTCATTCTTCTCAACTTCCTCTACAATGGAGTCTCTTCTAGGGTTTATCGAACCACCAGCTGACGACGAAATCGCTGAAACCAACTCTCAGGGATTCAAATTGGTTCCGTGGATAAGCTGGGATGAATGGAACTCTGTTCGAGATTCCCTTTTCTCTTCTTCTCCTCCTTCTGTTGCTTTTGCTCTTCAAAGGGTAACTAACTCCCAAAAGAAAAAACACTTTTTCCCTTCTATATTTTTTGCCCTAATAATTTTTTCTCTTGCTATAAATTTGAATTGAATACTTTTTTGGGGGAATATTAGATATCGACGTGGAGGAGCAGAGGGTGCATTCCTGTTGCAGTAGAAGTTACAGCTTCAATTATTGAAATTCAGCAAAAAGATGCTTTTTTCAGGTCACTCTTTACTGATTCAACCTTTTTTTGCCTCTTTGTGTCCCAATCTAAGTTGCTCGGACACGGGTGAGGGTGTCCGACACGGGTGCGGATCTAGAGGTCGTATCCTTCGAGGTGTAGATTCTAAGATTCGGGGATACGGATCCTAGTATGGATACGGGTACGGAGATCCGGCTAAAAATAATTCAAAAATTGTTTGACCATATCCGGTACGGATCCCATACCCACACCCGTACTAGTGTCGTGTCGACACGGGTGCGGCACCTAAACTGCCGTGTCGGAGCAACTTAGGTCCCAATTTATGTGATGCACTTTCCTTTTTAACCTATCCCGAAAAGAACGACAAAATAATTTAACTCTACGCTTTTCATTATAGCCATACAAATACTGGGTATGTTGTTGTTGTTGTTTAGGACCATAAGTTTCAATTTTCTGAAAATTCCTGCCTGGTCAAACAAGATCACATAAATTGGGATGGAGGGAGTATACGTTAGGAGTGAGTTGTTATGTTGATTTATCCTCTTATGTATATTGCTTGGGAGTCCTAAAATGAACATTGTTCTTGGTAATTCCCTTTTGCAGGAAGGACCTAGGTGGAAATGCTTTGCAATCAGAAGAAATGCTTTCTATGCTATACTGCATGGCAATTATGAGGTACAGTGGTCACTAGTTTTTTTAAAGAATATTTTCTTCCGTTTGTGTGATTTGCGAGAATGCCCCCCCCCCCCCCCCCCCCTTTTTTAATGCTAACATATCACCATTGTTAAAAAATTGTGATGTTATTTACACTTTGTTTTTTTTTGTATTTTTAGAAGTTAAATAAATTTATTTTATTCATATACACCAAGATGGTCTAAAAAAAGTATATACGAGATAAGTGTAGGCTCAACTACATTCATCTATCAAATTTTCCCAACTATCTAATACAAACAAGTTATCCTCTCTTTATGCCAAAAAATAAAAGTGAAAAAGGGCAGCCCGGTGTACAAAGCATCCTGTGTTCACGCAGGGTCCGGGGAAGGGCCACACCCCAAAGGGGTGTGATGCAAGCACCAGTGGCTGATACCACGGCTCGTATCATTATAATAGTTGTGAAATCTTCTATTCTTTCATTATAGTACAAAAAATGACACAATCAGCAGTGTCTTCTTTGCAGTCTTGTTGGTCGAACTTCTCGTTGTACACTTTTAAGTTTATTCTTTATTTAACTTTTCATCTTTTCCCTCTTATTTGTGAGGTTGTTGTGGCTAAAATGGTGGTATATTAGGATAGCAGTTGTGTGTGGGTGAGTGCTTTGTTAGCTAGCAAAATCAGCATAATAATGATAACTACTTTTCAAGGCTTGTAAATGGCGTTGTTGAGAAGACCCGCAACAAAACAGAAATCTCTATAGGTGAGGCAGCCAATGATATTGGAATTCCACGTATGCTGATTGACGTTCGCCATGGTGAGTGTTTATGCATATTTACAACTTCAAAACTGGCAATTGTTGATTGTTAAATGTAAGTCAGCCTTATAAGAAAAGTTGTTAAAAGTGTACGTCAGTTTTCATTATCCACCGAGTTTCGAACCATGCGCCACTGGCCCTCGGAGATTTCTCGGTCATAAAAAGAAAATGTAAGTCAGTTATACATAGCATCAACGAGTAGATTTCTAACCAAAAAAAAAGAGTAGAATTATTGCAGTCTTAGTGAGTGAGTAAGCTAGTAATAGAGATATAGCGATGCATCAACTTGTCCTCCTTCTGCATCTGCTGTAGGCTAAAAATAATTGGAAGCAATATACGATATGTTACTTATTGCATCAGTTAGCAATATTGGTTTGGCTGTGGCTTATGATTTTCCAACGGAAATTCAAATTTGAAAAAGTTCCTTTCTTAAAGTGGTTGCTATTTCCTTGTAGAGGGCTCTCATCGTGATCTTCCTTCACTGCAGTTGGTCCGTCTTGCCTCTACCAAGGTAGATATCTTTCTTTCCCTCTATAACCTTTTGCTTAAGTATGTATCGTTTATTATATTATTACAGTCGAAGCTATGACTTCCTGATGTTCTATTTATCAGAGAAAAAGGTTCTTGAAGTTCCATTCCACTTTGACATCTATAGTAGTATATAGTGTAGTGGTGGATTCTCTTCTAGAAATACAGAGATATTGTGGTTTGTAGTGATAAAACTAATCGGAGGAGGCCAAATTATGTTTGCTGTAATCTAAGGTCTAGCTGCAACACTAGGTGTGAGATGATTTGCTTCAGGCTCGGTGTTCAGGGTCACTTTGGAACCTGTGCTAGCAGGCTGGATAAGCTGTCCAGTAGATTAGCTGAGGTGCTGCGATTTGGCCCAAACATCACCGATATAAAAAGAGACACATGCAGCATATCCTCTTCTTTAGCCGTTTAGCGATAGATTTCTCATTCTCTAGTTATTGGAAAATGATTGATTCCTAAGTCTCTATATTATTTGTAGCTTTGTGGCTTGTGTTATTCTTGTGATGCAGTCTTTTCTGCCTTAGTAACACTTATGAGATCCTCTTGGATAACAGCAGGTTTTCCATTTTCTCTTGTTATTTCTGTAGGATCTAGGTTTTCTGCAGTATATCTCAAAAAAAATGGATATAGGTTTTCAGCAGTGATTTAAAATGAATTTGGAGCCGACTGAGTGAACTATTTGGTCTAAGAACAGACATTTCATCTCTGCTTGCATGATATCGGCTGAATAAGCTGCTTTTGAGTGGTAGATATCTTTGATCTGATCTGGACTGGGAAGCTTGCCAGTTGACAATATTATATTTTCAGGTTCTCAGACTATGAATAAATGTAAATGAGATTGACCTTAGCTTGTTTGGTTTTTCCTAGCAAGCATCAACTAGATGTGGAAGAAGATAAAACTGAAGGAAACATTTTCTGGAGGACGATTTTTTTTTTTGGGACAATGAAAATCATTGTAAAAAGATAAAATAGAGAGAACGGAAGGAAGCATGATCTTGCATCACATTTGTTATACTGAATAGCCGTGGACATTGTGGAGAAGTGTTGAAATGCTATAATGATTAGGTCATAAAGATGAAGCTCTTTGCTGGAAACCTTCCTTGCACTTGATTGCAATGGTTTAGACAACATGTGACGTAGGCATGTCCATGAGCTGGGTGGAGCAGAATCCAGCTTGTTTGCTCGGACTGGGGTGCGGGTATCCAATCTGGGTGCGGATCTAGATGTCGAGTCCTCCATAATCCAAATTTTAAGATTCCGGAGTATGGATCCAAATATACGGGTATGGGTGCGGGGATTCAACTAAAAATAATTCAAAATTCTAAAAATAGATCTATAAAAATATCCTAAATTATGAGAAATATTCTGTGGTTGTGGAGTGCAGTTAATAATTCAATCTTTCATTTTGAGAATTTCTCAAGTTGTAGGCACTAGGCACTAGCAGGCAGCATCTAAAAGTCAATCTTTCATTTTTCATTTTTCCTCAAATTTGTCCATGGATTGTGGTCAAAGTACCCGATCTCGATTGACCAATACGAAACCCACACCCTGACCAGTACCAATGTCGTGTCAACACGGGTGCGGCGGCTAAAATGAAGAGTCTTTACAACATAGGCGACTATTGAGCATCCCGTGGCCTTGTTATAATTCCAAGCGCATGTGGGTTTTGGCTGGACAAAGTTGTTCTATCTTTTTCTTTTTCTTTCCCCATACCAATAATTCAAATTTCTATCCTTGAACCTTGTACAATCTTTTGAATCACTTCAAGGCCTTTAGCTACTGTCATTTGTTCATGATTCATCCATCCAAACTCTATACTTCTACAATTGATTAAATTAAAGCTAGAAAAGGTAATCTATTTTATAGAATGGAGAATAAGGAGTAAACCAAAAATAGAACATGGTGACGAGTAGACATTAAGTTTCTTTTCCTCATGTCTGTAAGAGTGAGTCAACTGACAAACAGAAAGTCCCAGCTGGATCATGTTTTAAATGATGTCAATAATTTCAGGCACTTGACTGGTTGAAATCATATTATTGGGAACCGCAAAGCAAAGCAATTCGAAGGGATCCAACAGCCAATCTGAGGAAAGAAATCAAACACAGATTACTAGAGATGGCTTCCTTAGTGGAAATGAAGCAGACTACTAGATCAAGTACTTCAGAAAAGCGTGAGTGAAGTTCTAACCTCTTGTTATATTATGGTGGTTTTGCCTAGTGATATTATCCATTGTTTAATCTTCTTGCATGAGGATTATGATCTCCTTGATGTCTGGTACATTAACATAGTATGTTTGTAAGCACCTGTAGGTGTGGTGCAGAGTATACGAATATAATCTAAATTAAAACCATCAAAGCACATTGTATGAATGTAAATATCACCATTACAACTGTCCTTGACGTGTTTTCATTATTTTTTTCATGTTTGAAAATGATTAATGGTCACATCAATAGTTTCACTTTCAAATACATATCTACATAACAAACTAAACAATCATTCAAAAATTCCATCACTAAATTTGCTACACAATTCACTTTCAATGAAGAGAAAGCTCTTTCCGCTTGCAACATCGACCGGTAATATCATACAATCACTAGATGTTAATGATTTGTCTATTGTATTAAGTTTCGCAGATCACGATTTGCACCAGGTTAGTAACTAATAGAAAAGAAAATTAAAAAGTAACATTTGCTTAGAACAACACCCATTATTTTTCTTGTCTTATTTTTCTCTCTGTACTTCCACCTCTGAGACATTCAGGGGATGGCAACTGGATTTCACTAGATGGCACATCACTGAATGGAACCTCTATTTTGCTCTTAAATCTCATTGAACTATTTCTTTTCATTGAGGTGCAGGTTCTTTCTCCTCATCTTGGTAAAACATAAAAGATATCGTGATTTTGTTGATAGTTAGTTTTCCTGATGTTTCTGTAGAAGTTTTGATTCTAATCACTGGAGGATTCCATTTTTCGTCATAGATATTTTGCTTGAACAAGTGTTCACGGCTGCGTAAACTTTGTTCTTGCTGTCTATTGCGAAGTTATTGTCATAGTTTGATACTGTTTCACGCCTGTATGTGTTGAATGGTTTTGAGTTGGTCCTGCAGCTGGAATTGTTCTCATTAAAAACAAAGGAAAAGGAAAAGGAAGTATACTTTGTGCATGGAGTTGATTGACATTATGATCAGCCAATACAACTTCTTGCTGGGCTTACTCTTTTGTTCCCCTTTTCCTTTTGATAAGATAAGTAGTGCAAAATTTCCGCTTTTCTCCTAGTTTTCCGATAAGTTTGGTTCAATTATACAGGAATCAGGCCGGCGCAGCTTTGTGCAAGAAACAAGTTTCTCCCTGTCACCTCTGGGTTGCTACCATGTTCTGGTAATTTTATTCAGCTTCAAGCCTCTAAGTCCACGGTTCATGTCTGTGGCAGTGTTGCTGCATCTACTTTTATGAAGTGTGCTTTAGAACAATTTCTCTACCTGTTTTGAAAATCTATCGCACACGAAAGTTTGCCACTTACAGTGATTTGCTCTTGTTAGAGATAGCTATGTAATTGTCCCACATTGGAATAGGAGTAGTATCCCCTTTGTANAGAGCTATCGTGAGAGATTTATCGCTGTGCATAAATTCCAGCGATTCCGGGAAGTAAAATCAGTCACCGGAACCCTTTTTTTCCGACGACTTTCAAAGTTGTTTTGCGTCTGTTTTGTCTCGGTCAGTGTTGCGCACAAAATCCAACACTACCACAAGAGTAGTCACTGTCCGGCGACCAAATCCCAGTGAAAATCTTCGGCGGTACCGTAGCTGTCCAAAGAAAATTTTCCGGCGAAGTTCCA